CATACCTTGATCAAATAAAAAGTCTAATCCAATGATGACTTCATCCATAATCGCCGCGACTATGAACTTGTGTAACACCGTCAAATTCCCTATTGCGACTCTGCATGTTACCTCTCCTACAACTTGGGTGTCCTCACCAGTTGCTGTCCTCAACCTTGCTCCAGGTAATGGCCTTACCTCTTTAGTGACCAAATCAGATCGAATGATGGAATGTGATGCGCCCTTATTACACAGTTAGTACTCGCTCATGTCCGTCCTCATATCCACCAACAGCAACGTTGCTCGCTTTTCTGCCAATTCGCGAGACGGAGATTATGGGGAATTCAATGGCGGGAGCCAGCGTGCGCCCCTTGCTGCTGGCTCGTTTTAGTTTAACGACTGATCCGAGTCGGGCTCGTCATACTCAGTCCTGCGTTTACGTACTGCGGAACTGTTTGACCTGTTGGAACCCGTCCTACATTCACGTGCGAAGTGGCCTGGTTCTCCGCAACTAAAGCATTTCCTAGCACCGTCCTTTCTCTCGTTGCACCAGGAGTATTCTTCTCTGTCATCGACTTGAGTGTTTTCAGGATCTCGTTTATCACGTCAGGTGTCTCCACTTCTACTCGATGAGCTTTGTAGGCTGGTCTACTTAGGAGCGCCGCCGTTACACGTGTCTGAGCATACGAGACCGTTTCAGCAAATGTTGGCTTTGGATTTGCATACGTCTCGCGCTTGGTATAAATGTCTCGCATTCCGTTGATGAACCTCTGGAGCTTTACCCTTTCAAGGTGTTCACCAGATGCGTATCCAATAGCTAAGTGAGCCAACCTCTCGATCTCCGAAGCGAATTCTTGTAGAGTCTCATTGGCTTTTTGGCAGCGATTCTCCAGCTCCATCTGGTAAATCTGTCTCCTGTGCTCGCTACCATAACGTCTTTCTACTGCACCCATTAACGCATCGTAACTGTTCCTTTCACAATCAAGAATAGTCTGCAAGATTTCCGCTGCAGGTCCTTTTAATGCAATGAACAGTGCAGCGGATTTATCCTCCATGCTCCAGTGATTTGCTGCAGCCGTTTTTTCGAACTGGAGCTTAAATACCTGGAAGAGAATCGTGCCGTCAAAGGATGGAGTTTTTACCTTGGGAGCGTTCGTCGAAGTAGCTGGACGATTCAATTGTAAATCACGAAGACGACCTTCCACTTCGTCTATCTTTGCTTCGACTTTCTCCTGTCTTTCTTCAAGTTTGTCCTGTATTTGGGTAATTTTTTCATCCTGTCCTTCCAGCTGTAATGATATGTGTGCCTCCTGTACCTCTAGCTGAGTTTCTAACCGGGATGACACCTGCGATGACACCTGCGCTGATACCACGGAAGATATACGTGTCTCCAGCGCATGCATCTGTGACGACAGCTGTGATGACATCTGTGACATGGCAGCCAATAACGTGTTCATGTCTATAGCTGTTGATGAACTAAGAGCCTTTTGCTGTTCTTCAACCTTCCCGGATGTCTGCTGCATATCCTTCGACGAACAAGCAGCCTCACCCTTCTGTTCGTCCTTTGGGGATGCATCGTCGGGTTTGCCCTGGAAGTCGTATTTGTCCACGTCGATGCCTTCAGCTTCCATAACCTCCCGCAACCGGGATACCAATTCCAATTTTATTCTCGAGGTGGCCAAATTACGCTTTTCCAACTCCTGTTTCAGCTTCTCAATCTTTAAGTCCTGAATTTTTGCCATTTCAGTAGTTTATCCTTCGGGATTTATTTAAAAATCCCACTTCTGACATCAATTGCTACGATTATCCTCGAAGCCTTGAGGGATTTCCCAAACATATTCGGGCTCGTATCGCTGGATTGTTAAATAAATGCTCACGATGACCAAATTGTAGTACAATTAACTTTATTGTACAACAAACAATTTACAATACTCGCTAATACTGTAAAAACACTCTACAATACTTGTTAAAGCAATAACAACGCTTAACTAAACTTGTTAACACAATTAAACGTATAGCTTGCTTATTCGCAACTCACTTCTCTGCTCACTTTACTTGTAGCTTGCTGTCTTGTAACTAACTCACTTCGCTGTGGCGGCGCCCTTATATACCTTATNTTCCACTTCGTCTATCTTTGCTTCGACTTTCTCCTGTCTTTCTTCAAGTTTGTCCTGTATTTGGGTAATTTTTTCATCCTGTCCTTCCAGCTGTAATGATATGTGTGCCTCCTGTACCTCTAGCTGAGTTTCTAACCGGGATGACACCTGCGATGACACCTGCGCTGATACCACGGAAGATATACGTGTCTCCAGCGCATGCATCTGTGACGACAGCTGTGATGACATCTGTGACATGGCAGCCAATAACGTGTTCATGTCTATAGCTGTTGATGAACTAAGAGCCTTTTGCTGTTCTTCAACCTTCCCGGATGTCTGCTGCATATCCTTCGACGAACAAGCAGCCTCACCCTTCTGTTCGTCCTTTGGGGATGCATCGTCGGGTTTGCCCTGGAAGTCGTATTTGTCCACGTCGATGCCTTCAGCTTCCATAACCTCCCGCAACCGGGATACCAATTCCAATTTTATTCTCGAGGTGGCCAAATTACGCTTTTCCAACTCCTGTTTCAGCTTCTCAATCTTTAAGTCCTGAATTTTTGCCATTTCAGTAGTTTATCCTTCGGGATTTATTTAAAAATCCCACTTCTGACATCAATTGCTACGATTATCCTCGAAGCCTTGAGGGATTTCCCAAACATATTCGGGCTCGTATCGCTGGATTGTTAAATAAATGCTCACGATGACCAAATTGTAGTACAATTAACTTTATTGTACAACAAACAATTTACAATACTCGCTAATACTGTAAAAACACTCTACAATACTTGTTAAAGCAATAACAACGCTTAACTAAACTTGTTAACACAATTAAACGTATAGCTTGCTTATTCGCAACTCACTTCTCTGCTCACTTTACTTGTAGCTTGCTGTCTTGTAACTAACTCACTTCGCTGTGGCGGCGCCCTTATATACCTTATGCTCGTACTTATGGCAACTCTAGAACGTTCTGAAGTTTATCGCTCGTTCTCTTTCTCTCGCTGTTCGCAGTATTCATCCAACTTGACGTTTCTCTTTGTGGAACATTCTACGCCATTCCTCGAACATTCTGCCTATTTCTCGTTGTTCGCTTCGCGTTGCCGCAGTATTCGTCACATTATTGTGATATTTGGATCGTGATCCATATTGGTGGATTTCAAAATAATGATGGATCGCGCGGGAATGCTACTTGTTCATTAGGGGTCTTCATCAAAAGTGAGAAACTCTTGATAAACTTGTTAAAGTGATAAATTTATCATTTTGATAAATGACCTGTCAAACTTTGTATGGAAATCTATTTAACCAAAGTTTATCAATTTATCAAACGACTTTGGTGGATAAATGTATACATTTCAGTAAAATTCAATCCTTAAGCCAAAAATACAATAACGCAGTGGCAGTGGCAGTGGCAGCTTTTCGAAATCAGCTGTTTTTTAGAAAGTGTGGTGTCCAATGAAGCGACTCAAAATACAGCAGTGGCAGCTGGCAGTACTGCTCAGTTTTGCCCAAATTCTAAATTCACTGCCACTGCCTTCATCGCAGCAAACTTCGCATGCTGAATTTGACATAAATAAAATGTAGCCAATGTAGCTGTCACTGACAACGCCGTATTGTATTTGCTGCGGTAGTGACTGCCAATATTAGCAGTAACAGCTGATTTTAAAAACTGTCACTGCCACTGCCACTGCGCTATTGTATTTTGGGCTTTATAGGTTGCCAGGTAGTCGCTTTTGCTACGAACACATCAAATGAACACAATGGACGAGGTAAGAATGAAACGCAACTAGCCATGTAAGTTAAATAATAAACAGTTTTATGCAATTATTTACCAAGGTGTGTTCATGAAAGAATGCGGAAAAACTGATAAATTTAAGCAATTTATCCCTTTATCACTTTAGATGAAGACCCCTATTATTTATCGCGTCAGTATTTACATGTTTTTGTGTTGAGATGTTTAAAGTACAGTATATGAGAAGCCTGGAAATCTTATCATAATGTTATTTTATTGAAAATCATCTATACTTTTTATTATATATATGGTGATACCATATCTAATTTGTCCGAAACGCAACGCGAAATGCCGAGCCGTCAATATCACGAAATATGCCACACGTTCAATACTTATTAACAGGTCTTTGATCCATATATAGAGGAAATAAAAAAGAACGTTTGAACAGCAGTTTGTGCGGTGTATTTGGGCTCTTTAGCGCCTCGGTGTATGCACTTAAATCGATTTTTTAAATAATGTTTTTGTTCTGGGGCTAAGATCCAGTTCAAAAGACAGGAGCTTAAAGCGCGTTTTTATGAAAAGTATATTTTTAAACGCGTGCGTTGCAAAAATATTTATTATTTTTTTTTTGTTTCACAAATTTTTGTTATATTCTTCTTTATACACGTACGTATACAGAGATTGAATAACAATTTATTTATATACCTATGTAAATGTATTTAGTTATTATATGAGGCCTTGAGCGCCAGAGTAGCTTAACTGACACATCAAAGAAAGTTGAGGTGCACCTTAAAATGCATTACCAGAATCGAAGCGGTAATAGCCCGAGGCACACCCTGTTAGTTTTCTTTTACTATAATATGTAGCATCACGTAGGTGCAATGAATTTTTTATTAAAAGGCGGCATTTATTTTTTATAGATCCTTTTTTCTCATACTAAATACTAAAAATTTGTTTGTAGATAAGCTCCTCTGGCCCTCATGGCCTCATATGTAAAACGAATTTGTTTAGTTTTCTTTTAACAAAACTATTTATTGTATCCATGTCTTATAACGAGGTTTGTTTTTACACTTTACTGTATAATAAAACGTTATTTTTGACTTGGTAACTTTTAAGTAATTTCTTTTTGTAAATTGTGGTCATAAAATTTTTTGTTGTGATTACGTACGTGATTACCATACGTGTATCAGTGGAGCAATGTTGGACATAGTAATTTGAAGATAGCATACTGAGGGCCGGTTGTTCAATGTCTGGTTATCACTACTTGCCGGTTAAACATCATTATCGACGATTTCGACAGCATGCATATAACATGTGATCGATAAAGCAGTCGTTGTACTAACCGGAGCTTCTACCTCCGATTTGTGCTAATCGGACATTGAACAACCGGCCCTAAGTGCCGGTTACTCAATGTCTGGTTAACACTTATCTCCGGTTAAACATTGTTATCGACGTATTCGACTCCATTCATATAACAGGGAGCCGGTAACGTCGATAACGATGTTTAACCAGAGCTTAGTGTTAACCAGACTTTGAGTAACCGGCCCTAAGTGACATATATTGAAACCGGAGGAATAACCTGGCGGTGGTTTTATAAACCGGCCAACCTACCCAAAAAAACAAAAAAATAAATAAAATCGATGAAACCAGAAATTTCAAACTACTTAAAATCCTGTTTTTAGGACTGGGCCCATAACCTGTAGTGAATCTAGCAGAGTTTAAATAAAAGATACGCAGTAGACGTCTGTTCAATTTGAATAGCTTTAATCCAATTGCCAAACAAAATACATACATGTGTATAAAAAATACATATTTTTGTTAGATATGGTACAAGTGTGAATTTCGAAAAATATAAAGGTTGGTTCACAACATGACTGTAAATGATTGTTATGGTTGGTTCACAACAATAGGACGTACCATTGCTGTGTAAATCCAGTGAACTTTGTGGGGTTTGAGACCCCATTTCTTGCCTATAGACGTTATGCAGGCATAGAGAACGGTAATGGCCTTTTTGGCCCGCTTCAGGTTAGTTTCCTGTCCAAGATGACGCCCAAGTATTTCCCTTCATTACTTTTTGTCTCCACAGGCAAAAGCTTTTATCTTGACAATGTTTTCAGGCAAAATTATGACAATGGAGACCGCGTATTGCTCTTGGCAAGCAATTTTTATCAGAGCTTTTATCTTGCTAAATATTGCCAGCGATTTGGTACTTTGAAAGCTATATTTTTTTTATTTATTTATTTATTCATGAAGTCAATGAAACAAGGTTCTTACTGACTACTTAAAGCGAATGGCCCGTAGTCATAGTCAAAATAAAGTCGACTTTAAAGTTAGTTGCAGCTTTTTTGACAGATATCCCATTGAAAATTATGTCAAAAAGCTGCAACTAACTTTAAAGTCGACTTTATTTTGACTATGACTACGGGCCATTAATTATAAGGTAAGTATATTTGAGCTAATTGGAAATAGTACTACTTAATCAAAAAACTGTATATAACAATGAAATAAAAGCATATTTAGACAAAGAGAAATCTAAACTGACAGAATTCGAGATCTCATTAAAATCACAGAGAGCGCGCGCCAAAGGAGCATTTTTCGCGTAATCAGTCTTAACTTTATCTGGGTAGAAGGGATAACACTTGCGTAGTGTCTTGAGAGGGACTAGAAAGTGAATCCTTTCAAGCAAAGATGGACAATCAATTGTACCATTAATGATACTAAAAACGAACGACAGAGAGAGAATCGATCTCCTTGAAACAAGTGACTGAAGGTTGATTAAGAGCAGGCGTGAATGATAGGAAGGGATAGGATCAGAAAATTTTAAAGAACGAAGGGCAGATTTTAAGAATACTTTTTGAACTTTTTCAATCCTATTAATAGAAAATTGGAAATAAGGTCGCCAAATAAACGCAGCATACTCTAACCTAGAACGAACAAAAGTTGTGAAAAGCAATTTTAGCGTATAAGGGTCCGAAAATTTTGAACTGTTTCTTCGAACAAAACCTAGAATTGAATATGCCTTAGTTAAAATAAAATTTATGTGACTGTTAAATGAGAAATGCGTGTCAAAAATTACACCAAGGTCTTTAATTTCTACAACAGATTGAAGCACATTATTAGATATTGTGTAAGACGTTTTTGAAATATTGTGACTTTTCGAAAAAGTAATTTCAAAACATTTTTTTACGTTTAACGAAAGACCACACTCCTCACACCAGACACACAGCGTATCCAAATCCGCTTGAAGATACTTTGCATCAGTCGAGTCTTTAATCACGGAAAATATTTTTAAGTCGTCGGCGTACAGCAAAAAATTGGCGAACGAGAAACAGCTGCTTATGTCATTAATAAATAAAACGAACAGTAGTGGACCCAAAATGCTTCCTTGAGGAACTCCAGAAGTGGCAATGAAAGGTTCCGAAGAAACGCCATCGATTGTCACCACGCACCGCCTATTGCTTAAGTAGGATTTTATCCATTTAAGAAAAACAGAGTGAAAGCCCAAAACTGCAAGTTTGTGTAATAAAATTGTATGTCAGACTTTATCAAACGCTTTCGAAAAATCTGTGTAAATACAGTCAACTTGGAGTCCTGCCGATATAGCTGCAATGCAGTATTCACTAAACACTGCTAAATTGGAGACTGTAGAACGTCCAGCAACAAATCCATGCTGATTAGGTGAAATAATGCTCTTAGTAGCAAAAAACATCTTCTCTTTGATAATGCTTTCCATAAGTTTGGAGACTGTCGAGAGCTTCGAAATAGGCCTATAATTACAGACGTCATTTTTATTACCGCTTTTAAAAAGCGGAGAAATTGATGTCAGCTTCCAGTCATC